CAACATCATGTGTCTATTGCGATATTTATTATTTATTTATTGTCAAGTCTTACGTTTTCTAACATCTTTTTCAACACACTTTTCTTTTGAAACTATTTTCAACCCTGACTGAATCCCAAAATACAGTTTTTATGTCTCTTTTTTTTTATTAAAGAGTCATTAAAAGAGCAGTAGCTGCTCTCAACCCCCTACAGTAAAAAATAAAATAAAATAAAAGGTTAAACGGTTTTATACCTTTACAGGCTCCACACCAGCTCTTGTGGATGATGACCATGACTGGCAGCCCGCTGTCAAAGCAACATCATGAGATCAGAAAAGAGCTGCAGCTAAATGAAAAAAAAAAAAAAAAAAACACTTTTTTTTTTTTACAGGAAAAAGAGAGGCCATTGTTCATCTGCTCCAGTCTGCGGCCGTCATAAAGGTGTGGTGTTCCTTACGCTTTTTAGGTCACAGGTTAATGTTTGCCCAACTAGAAATGGAGCTTCAGCTCACCTGGCCTCAGCCTCTTTCTTGCCATCTTCCAGCGTCCTCCAGTGGATATTATCTCCAAATCCTGTTGGAACAAAGAACCAGTGTCGTATTTACACACAGCAGGGCGGGTCTGAGCGTCTGAGAACACAACACCAACCTACAACCTTTTACTTTCATACAAGTCTTAAGAACTATTATTTTAGACTGCAGGTTGATTTGGGTTTTAACCAATAGCATAGGGACCAGCTCCTTGCTTTGGTATGCAACACCTTCCAAAGTACACCTTAATGTTAAGACTACAACTGCAGCTGACAATTACTTTAGTTCTCAATTATTCTGGCGATTAATCCTATAAAGTAAATTGGCACATTCTGCAGATTTTAAAATGTTTTTATATATTACAAATACATTAAAAGATGCAAATAATCCTTAATAAAATAAGACTTTTTTTTTGCTTGAAATGCAACAACATAGCATTCCTTTAGTGAATGCTTTATCAGGATTCATCTGCTGATAAAATATAGCTTTTTCTACACTGTATAGTGGATGTGTTGATTATCTTTTGGATTAATTGATTAATATTTGGATAGCAAAATGTGCTTAGTAGGCGATTTGAAGCTAAAACTACGCCACTTGAGTTCTGAGTAGAACATATTTACAGACAAAGAAGGCATTTTTGATTATCTTAAGTGCACAATGTTTATATTTTATCAAGTTTGGGTTTAATTACTGCTCTGATTATATCGCACTTTCATAAAATAGCTTTTTTTTCAGTCTGTACTTCAGTCTGTTTTTTTTTTTTTTTGAAACTGTGATTAGCTGCTTCTATTCCCTGGATGGAGACAAAAACAGAGCCATTGTTCCCAGTAACTTTGTGTTATCTCTTTGTTTTTCTTTGACTAAGAAAGTACCGTCAGGGAAACGCTTATGTGTTCACCTGTGTCTTTTTGTTGGAACACAGTCATAGACTTGGCTATTGTTGTCATTAACTGTGTTTTTATTTGTTTATCTGTTAAACAGAAAGCGTCCTTGGCTCTCTGCTTCTGCTTTCTAGATAAGGTCGATAACAGAATGACTGCTGCTTTTAACTAGGTTTATTCTTACAAAAGAAAACAATTTGTAGGCCTGTTGTTGTTATTTTATCTGTTTCTTATGGATCAGACTGGATCTGGTTCTGTTGCATGATAGTTATTCCACTCCACTTTCACCTTGTGCTTTCCAAGGAAGGGAAAGTACAACAAAGAAATTATTAAATAGAACTGGGTAGCATATTTAGTTATGTAACTTTTTACAACCTGGCTTTAATTTTTTTTTTAAATTCTGATCAAATTTGACTGTTTCAAATTTAAATAAAGTAACGAAAGTCACTTTTTTAACGAACATGTTTGTAAATCTACGTTTTAGAATAATGTATATATATTTTTTCTTTGTTGATACAATATTTGTAACTATTACATTGGCAGTAAAAACCAGGCAAACCAGAAATACTGGAAGTGAATATCTGTCCGCGATGAAAAACGTTTTGAAAAGCCTGCAAGAACGCACACATTGTGAACACTTTCAATGAGGCTACAAACATATAACCTACTTAAATCAATTTTACTTCAAATATAAACTCACCTCTTCCATTAGCTGCTTCAACAACCTCCTCGAAACACGAAATATAAAGTAAGAACTGAAACAATGAGAAAACTACGATAGGAACTACAGACGATTGCATTTTGGCTGCCTTTCTTCTCATACAGTTGTTGCTAACAAGTAATGGTTAGCGATCACGACCCGGATGTCCAACCAGAAACGTTTCACAATAAAAGTAAGTTTTCTTATGCTGCGTTCCATTCACCTGGAAAATCAGACACGGCTGTGAAAATGACGTCACCTCCAACCAGTGGTATTTGCTATTTTTAACACTCCGTGAGCAGACTAGCTGCAATGTATTCCTCTGCATTTTATCCATTTGTAATCTAACGGATTACATTTGTGAGTAGCTCTTGTACAGTGTTATCTGTTTGACTGACACAAAAACAGATAAAAATATGAATAAGGATAGTTAATTCCCCCCCGCCCCCTTATTTTCCAGTCATGGCCGAAAACGCATCATAAACTCAAGGTTGACTGTTCCGGTTTATATTTTCCGAGCTAAGGTGTGGAATTCCGACATCTGAGTGTAAATTAAACGCACCATTAAAGTTAGGAACCCGCCCCTCAAAGATGCGACATTTGCTTCTTATTGGCCCAGAGCATTTTTTCCCATTTCTCTGAGAACAGCCCACGTGACATCACATCTACACAACCGCGTGGTTCTCTGCGCTGCCTTGGACAAAGTTAAACGAGAAAAGGTCATTATGAAACCGGAAATGCATATGAAATTTTCAATTTAAAAGCTCTAACAGACACGTGAAAACTGTTATTTTTTTACCTACTCCATGTGGTTTGATTATGATGTACATTATGCACAGTTATGTTGTTGTTTTTTTATTATCTTCAAATAATCTTGAATAATTAAAAAAAAAATAAATGATTGAAAATTTATTCTGGAAATCATAACCGGAAATGAATTGTGCTAGTGCTAACTTGTGCTCTAGCCCGTGCTACTTCATTCGTAGCAAGATCTGTTCAACGGACACATAATCCCTTATTACAGGTAAATACGCCGTTTACTTTGATTAAAACACCTCGTGTGCTTATTCTATCGTTTGAATACTATCGCTAATCTTTAGAGAAGTCAGTATTAATTTGATTTTAATTATTTTGTGTTATTTTAACCTTAAAGCTAACGTTAGCCCAGTTAAGCTCGTTCTAGCAAACTACTTAGCTCAACAGCCGACGGAAATCTTATTTCGAAATAATAACACAATGATTTTGAGTAGACTTTAAGTCCTAATTACTGAGTTTAATATCAGTGTTATATGAAGTGTTTTCAGGTTTCAGCTCAGTCATCATAAAGCAAGTTGTTTGTATATTTGTGTGTTTGTGTGAAGTCTGGTTTGGATTAAGTTTGTTTTGCTTCACAGAACACTATGAATCAAGAGAAGCTAGCCAAACTTCAAGCTCAGGTCCGGATAGGAGGAAAGGTACCGTTTTCAGTCTTGTTCGCATCTCTCATTTGGAAACCATTTGATTCAGATTAGTTCTGCCTTGGGTCAGTTGTTCTTGTTAAGAAGTGTGTTGGTGTTTGGCACCTGCCACATTTTTCCTCCTGACCTCAGCATTTCTATTGTCAGGCAGAATATTACCCCTCTTCATCTGAGGCCTCTGAGGCTTTGGGCCCATTTTTTTACACACACTAGGTGGCAATATTTGTTATTTCTGGTGTACACCAACAAGCTTCTTCAGTCTTTTATCAGGTTAATTACTGGTAATTTATTTAAACTAAAATTATACAAGTAAATTATCTGGGTTCACGCAGTTTTATACAAGTAGGAACTTGCTTTGTTTTGTACAAGATTTGCATGTCAAAACAAGTAACTCAAAAGAGCAACTAAATATATTTTATTATGTATGATTGTATAAGAAATCCTGGAGTAACACGTCTTCAATTTATGTTGAAGCCTCCAAATGGCTCTCACAATAGCAAGAAATTGCCAAATTTTAAAAATATATTTTTTAAATTATTACTCTGAAAAATCCAATATATCATCTTGGATAAATGTTTGGTTTCAATTGCTTAGACTATATATAGATATGCCCTGTTTTTTTTTTTTTTTTTGTTTTTTTTTTTTGTTTTTTTTACCAGTGAAAATACCTTACATTTTACATTATTGTAAGATTAAATTCTAAAAATATGATCAAAAATAACTTTTGATGGAATTTGCAGCTGGAAAAGCATTTTTTAAAGGCCCTAAATCAGTAGAAGTATCATGAATATCATCAGTAAAACAGCATTTCATTTTCTTTTGGGATTAAAAGGGATTATTTGAATCTTATTTAAGATTCAAATAAAGTATGTTTGAATCTTAATTGTTTAAATGTCTGGTAGGAATACGGTTTTCTAATCTATATAATAGGTCAAATATGTGATGATGTCAAAATCAATTTGTGTTGATTTCATTTAACACAAATTGAACAAATTACATGTTTAATTTGTTCAAAATTTAGTAATTTTAACACTTCTAAACATTGATAGGAATCTAAAATAATGGAAATTGTCGGTTTTTTATGTAAATCGCTAAAATAGATTTTGCAGAATGAAGGGTTAGAACGACCCCAAACACTGATTACTGACCAGGAGGAACAAAAAGACAGCAGTGCAAAAAGATTAAGAAACATTACACACAGATTCCAGGTTCAGAAATGTAAATCTAGGTGAACAAATAAAAGTTGGATAATTCATCTCAGACTAAATTTTATGTGTAAAGTCTTCGTTTTGCTCTTGGAGTAATTCTAGAAAAGTTCACCAACACGTTTTGCTCCACCCGGTTCCCTGAAGTCTCAAAGCTTTAAAAATGATTTTGTAACCCGTTTCAGACTTTCAGTGAGTTTTTGTATTTGATCTTTTGTTAAATATCTTCAGATTGGATCATAATGTTTTGGCTTTTCAGATGTTTTGAGACCTACATGATGTTGCTGTACAGGTTCTGTTTTAAGTTTTCATTGTTCAGGCCTGCCAGTAATCAGGATTATTAACCTTAAATACGGTTAATAATTCAATTTGTGATTTACTTGTTGATTGAAAATTATTTTTCTTTTACTTAATTTTGAACACTTCTTGTTTCTTTCAACTATTTTGCTTATGAAGGCATAAAAACCACTAAGTGTTGGTTTTAAAATTCCCAGTGTGTCTTTTTGGCTAGTCTGCTGCTGTTGGGATTATTTTATTTAAGTTTTTAAGTTTTGCACACTTGTTTATCAATAAAGTGTTCCAAATGTTTTTCATGAAATCTTTGTTGTTTTTAACCAGGTAAAAAATAGAATATATCTTTGATAAATGGGTTCAGTGTGCAGTCTAATCCTTTTTTTATATCACCTGTTGCTGTCTCAGGGGACGGCCCGCAGGAAGAAAAAGGTTGTTCACAAAACAGCAACAGCTGACGATAAGAAACTGCAGGGCTCTCTGAAGAAGCTGGCAGTGAACAACATAGCAGGAATAGAGGAGGTGAGCAGCCGGCTTTTCTCTGTTTTGATATGTTTTGTCTCAGAATCCTGAATCTTTTATCAAGTGTCGTGTCAGAAGACGTGAGGGAGGATAAAAGCCCGACTAAAGTGTTCCCCAGTCGTTTCATCATCCGCTTTATTTTTAGAGAGCTTTCAGAAAACACAAAGTACAAAAATAAAAAGCGCAACTCCTCAAATGCATTTGGTGTCAAAACCAGACTGTTGCTCTGATTTACCCTCGGGTCAGGATAGACGCTCTAATCCCGACTCTTTCCCTTTTTTCTTAAGGTGAATATGATCAGAGACGACGGGACGGTGATTCACTTCAACAACCCCAAAGTTCAGGCTTCGCTGTCGGCCAACACCTTCGCCATCACAGGCCACGCCGAGACCAAGCAGCTGACGGAGATGCTGCCGGGCATCCTGAGCCAGCTGGGGGCCGACAGCCTCAGCAGCCTGCGCAAGCTAGCAGAGCAGTTCCCACGGCAATGTAAGAGCAAACGAACTAAACTGATTAATGTGTAAATTTATATTATTAAACAAATTAGATTAGTGAGGGATATTAAGAAAAAAGAAAGGAAGTGTCAAACACTATATATTTATATACATGTGTTATTTTTTTAAAATTTGATTTAATTAGACGATGCCTTCTTGATTGCTGATTTGGAAAAAATAGGATCTGAGCATTGGAACCAAATAATTAACGTTTAAAGTGAATCCTTTCCCTCGTTTCTCAAACAAACATCCTGCAGACACAAACAGACGCCACCAGCTGGTTTTGGATGAATTTGGACAAATGTGAACTTTTTAGACTTTCAAGCTTTTGCACATTTCTTTCAAGACAAACTTTTGCATTTTATTTGCGTAGAGTCTCTGAATGCCCAGAGGAAACATTCAGCAAACCTCCAGCTGCAAGAAAAGCAGAGAAAACTGTTTACAGATTGTTGAGAAGACGATGGAAAGATTCCAGAACAAACCTAGAACGAAGTCTGAGTGATAGTCTGCATATGTCAGACTTTGGATTTCAGGAGTATTTGGTGACATTATTTTATTCCTCACAACCTACAGAGACGGTTAAGTTGTTTATTGTTAAAACAACTTGACCGTTTATTGTTAATTTTAAAAAAAAACTCAAATAGGGCTGTATAGCATTGAATTAGGGCTGCAACTAACATTTATTTTAGTAATCTATTGATTATTTTGATGATTAATCGGGTAAGAAAATGAGCACATTCTGCAGATTTTTCATTTAATCATTATAAATATATTAAAAGATACAAATAAACAATTAATTTACTTTTTTTAATAATAAAAAAAGTAAATTATTAAAAATTTAATAACAGCATTCCTTTACTGCACGCTTGATCATTTGTAATAAAATATCTGCAGCTAAAAATACTTCATGTGAAAAGATCAGCTTTTTTGTCAATAATTTAATAATGATTGATAGGAAAAAGGTGATTAATAGGATATTTTTTATATATATAGAGAGAATTTGAAGCTAAAACTGCAACTTTATGAGTTCTGAGTAGAAAATATTTATAAATAAAGAAATGTGTATATTTTTTGTACAGTTTTGGCTTAATTGCTGGCATGTTTGTGTATTACTGTTAATGATTAATTACTAAATTAGTTTGTTTCAATAATTGATTAACTGCAATTAGTTGTTTCAGCCCTACATTTAACACTTAATTGTAATTTTAAAATTCTTGCTTGTTGTTTCTGCAGCAATGGAGCTGAAAGCCGTGAAAGAAGAAAATGCAGAAGAAGAAGACGACGACGTACCAGGTATAGATTCAGACAATTTACAGCAACTTGAGACGTAAAGAATTAAAATATAATCTCTTTTAGTTTCTTCTTAGCGTTCATTTATTTCTAACACATCATTTTTTCTTTTACACCTCACAGATCTTGTGGAGAACTTCGATGAAGCATCCAAAAACGAGGCGAACTGATGACATTGTTCTTCTTCAGCCTGATTTTTTTTATATCTTTTTTCTTTTTTTTTTTTTTTTTTTTTTTTTTTTTGTTTAAAGTTTTGCAGACTTGCAAAAGTCATTTCCTCTGGTGGGGAAACTGTTTAAGGTGCAGTGCATCACCTACAGATAAGTGAATCATTTAGTGTCGACGTTCTGCAGAAACAGAAACATCATATAGAGTTTTGGTAGAAATCGTGACACTCAAAAGACTCACAACTACTTAGGAAATAAGCTTCTGACGTGATGAAACAGGTGGTATTTAAGAGATTCTTTAAATGATGATTAAAGTTAGTGAATGATGTAAGTAGCGTTATAACAAGGATTGTGCATTTAATAAAACCATTTTGGGCTATTCATGTTTCATTTTATTACTCTTATTTCCCTTAATATCTTCCCTTATCAGCTGCTTGTTTTTAAATTTAGCAAAAATATTCAGATTTCTCAGTTTTTCCCATTTTTTCATGTTACAACTAAAAAATTTAAGTGTTTTTTTTTTCTTGTGGTTTTCAAAGTTTATTTAAAAAAATAAAAGTTAATGTTGCTTTTTGTATTAAGCCCCCTTTAATCCAATGCCTTCCAATAAAAAATGTTTTTATTGATGTAATTTAGTCTCAGACAGTTGGGTAGCAGCTAGTTACATTTACTTGAGTAACTTTTTAAAAAAATTACTTTTAGGAGTATTTTTATTACGCTGTACTTTTTACTTTTACTTGAGTAACTTTATTATAAAGTATTTTTACTCGAGTAAAATTTCTGGATTTTCTACCAACTGAATGAAAAACAAACATGTTTTAACCAAAAACTCACCAGATACAGACACACTCCTGCAGTTTTTGTTAAAGTTTCATAAGTTTTTTTATTTAAAAAAAAATTATTTGGAAACATTTTCTTTTTCCTGATTTTGATATTTTTTGTTACTTATATGAATTATTGTAATTTTTGTGCTTAAAATACAAAAATTTCCACTTAACTTTACATTTTGGCCTGTCTGAATATGTAATTTTTAAATATTAAATGATTGATAATTTGATCGGTTAATCAGTACTCGAGTAAACTTTTTACCAAATACTTTCCGAGTAATTTTTTTCAAGACAACATTTTACTTTTACTCTGCATCCTGAAGATCAGAAAACACAGCAGAGACAAAGATGTGGAGAAATTTAAAGCAGGGTTAAGCAATAAAACAAGCTTTGGTGGAGGCAGCATCATGCTGTGGGGATGTTTGTTCCTACAACAGGAAAGCTGATGAAGGTTGACGGAGCAAAATGCAAAAAAACGTGGATGAAAATTTTCTTCTTGCACTTGAGTTTATTAAGCAACATTAGAGTGAAAATAAAAAGTTAAAATATTAATCATTTATCACCCTAATGTATGTGTATCTGTAGAATTTATTGTCCCTGGAGGAAATATAGGTGCAGCAGCAGTAAAATGGCAATAAAATAATTTGTAAATGCTAATTTGAAAGAGAAGGGCTAACAGTGTCTGAATGGCTTTTCCACACTACATCCTGTTTCATTGATCACCTCTCCGTATTGATGCTGCATCCTGCTGATCAATGGCTCCGCTCGCTCTCTGCTGTCATCCCCGGAGAGGCCTGACTGAGTATGAAGGTTACTGAATGAGTCATTTCTTGTTTTATTTTTTTCTTTCTGGCTCCGGGAGCGGGACGGAGCTGTGGATCCGCCCCGGGCGGCTCACACCACCTCACCTCCCGCCCAGACTGGGCCGACATGTCCCTGCTGCTGCAGCGGCTGGACCCCGGAGCAGAGAGCGGGGCTGCGGGGAGCAGCAGCAGCCTGAGCTGCCCGGGTCAAGTTTGACAGAGAACCGCCATCAAAGCCGGAAGTCAACCTCAGACACCTACACAATAAAAGCACGAAGCATTTCGTAATACCGAAATCGATCACTATTTTTTTTTAAACTAGTTTTATTGCGCACAGTCAGAGGTGGCTAGAGTACTCAAGAAATTGTACTCAAGTAAGAGTAGTGGTAACAGATTTTCACTCAAGTAAAAGAACGTATCCATATAGGATATTACTGAGTAAAAATGTATTTGGTGAAACGTCTACTCAAGTACTGAGCTACTGATCAAATGATCAATCATTTAATATTTAAAAATTACGTAATCAGACGGACCAAAATATGAAATTAAGTGGAAATTTTGGCATTTTAAGGACAAAAATGACAAAATTAGGCAAAAGAAAAAATTTCCAAATCAGTTTCTTTCAATAAAAAACATATGAAACTTGTGTGTCTGTGTCTGGTGAATTTTTTGGTTAAATCACATTTGTTCTTCATTCAGTGGGTAGAAAATCCAGAAATTTTACTCAAGAATGAGTAATGGTACTTAATAAATTATTCAAATAAAAGTAAAAAGTACAGTGTAGCAAAAATACTCCTAAAAGTTTAGTTGTTTTTTTTAAAGTTACTCAATTATATCTAATTAAGTAAATGTAACTAGTACCCAATGCTCCATAGAGTACATTTTAAAAAAGCTTTCATTGTATTTCAGGAAAAACACTAGACATGTAGCCTTTACTTTTAAATATAGAAATTGGAAATTTTCCAAAAGTAAAACCCCTGACTTTATTACTCTGTATTATACAATCTTTAGATCTGGTCCTCACAAGCCTTTTTTAAAACCCCTAACATATTATGACCATTTTGCTTTGTAAAAATGATTTTCCCATTAAAGATGGTAAAAGTACAGCTGCTCATAATATTAGCAAAAAAGTCGTCGAGTTGGGTAGTGAATTGTTACATTTATTTAAGTAACCTTTTTGGGAAAGAAAAAAAGGTTTTGCAGGAATATTACTATTATTGACTAACTTTAAAGTTTGCTATGCCTACTTGAGTAAAATTTCTGGATACTCTATTGGTAACTTCACTGAATGATGGGCAACATTGTTTTAACCAGAAATTCACCAGACAAAGACACACACACTTTCTGTTTTTATTAAAGCTTCTTCATATTTTTTAATTGAAGGAAATAGATTTTGAAATTGAATGTGTCTTTTGCCTGATTTTGTTATTCATATTAATTATTTTAATTTTGATCTGTAAAATACCAAAATTATTCCCACTTGTATTTTGGTCTGTTTGATATTTTTGATCTCTAATCTGAGTAGCCTTTTCACCAATTTTTTTTTTTTTTTACTTTTGCTTTAATAATTTCTTTGATAGGTACTTTTTACATTTACCTGAGTAAATATGTGTTAAATTACTAGTGTTACTCTTACTTGAGTACAATTTCTGGGTACTCTACCCTCCTCTGACAGCATTATTCATCAAGTTTGTAAGTAAATAAGGAATTTAGCCCTGCTGGTTTGGGCCTTACACTCTACTTTCTGCTCCCTCACTTTTCCAAAAACTGGGCGGTAGAATCTTGATGGTGATTAAATGAACACAAGAGGACTCTGATAAGTGGTTGCTCTGGAGGGTGTCATTGCAAAGGCGGGCTGAATAAAAATGTGCATAATACTTTCTGATTTTTATTAGTAAAATAAATGTCAAAACCAATCTAAATTTTTTCTTGCACTTAATTATTTATGTTGGTGTAAAGAAACAAAAAACTATTACTTTGAAAGGTAAAACCGGAAGTTGGAGGTGTCCATTTTGGAACTTTTAACATTTCTCCCTATTTTCCCAGTATTGAACCTTTTCGGGGGGAGGGATCCTCTGCACAACTACGGCAGGATAACGGCTGTACTTTTCGAGTAGTGCTGTTCGGGTCGAGCAGACGGCAGAGTCGGAGAGAGTCTAAACGGGGAGACTCAAAAATAGCTTCCAAAGGCGATTAGCTATGACGGGAGGAAACACTGGGGCTCCGCGGGAATCTACGTAAAAATAAGAGGATGAGGAGGATTCCTCCGGTGAGTAACTGGATTTGTTTTTATGGCATTTCGCCGCTCTGCTTAGCCCCTCCAACCGCCATTGCAACGGCAACTTGGTGTTAGGAAAGTGAGTGGACGGTGTTGGTAGTAATTATTATTATTTTTTGTAAAGTGTGAGGAATCCCGAAAAGGTGCCGTTAACGGTCACTGATTTCTACGCCAATTACACAACACGCTCTGCGTGGCGTTTCAAGCTGTAGCTGTAGTGCTAGCACATGGAAAAATAAATGTAAAAAAATAAAGGAAAACACCTCCAATTGATATCGGGTTTAAGTTGAGCCCTTTTGAGGTGACCATTATAACCGGAATCCAACAACCTGACCACCGAGTCGGTGGCGGCGTGAGTGTCCGCGAGAGCAGCGAGCTTCTGCCGTCATGCCGCGCACGACTGCCCGCTGAATCACCGGAGCCATTTAACCCAACCGCTTTATATGCCTTTTATTACCCAAAATAAACAAGCCGAATTATAATGATCACTTCTGATTTATGTCACATTTTGTGCGAAACTTATCGGTGGCCTTTTCTCGTGTCGCGGTGGGAACAGATGTGAATAAAGTCAGCTAAAGCTAACACAACAGAGCAAGTTCTTGCAACAAACAAACGCAAAACTACAACGATTTCCTTCAAATTTGCGTCGATGTAGCCCTGCAGTTTTGTTTTCCACCTGTTTACCTTTGCTACCTTTGAAATATTTTTATGCAGAGATGCAGGGTTTGGCCTGCAGACACAGCTACAGTGTCACTTCTGGTTACATAACCCCAGCTAATGGTCACCTATGTGCTCATAAGAGTTGGTCTCCTCCGGTCATCAGGCTGTTGTTGAGGTCAACGTGTGGAGTTATGAGTAAACACGGCCTAAACCAGAGCCTACTTTTATTGTTTTCATTAATTCAGACATTAAAAAGTCCATTTTAGACAGAGGAAAAAGCAAGCAGCCTTCCAGGATTCCTAGACAGTCTGGAAGGTATGAAAGTAGATTTAACTATTTTCCACATCTGCTTAGGGATGGAAATAAAAGGAAATATGTGCATTTACTTTGCTCACATCTCTGTCCTCTTATTGATGCGTTTATGTGTCCATCCATCCATAACATTTATTTTTTGTTCTGTTCCAAAAGTTTGCAAGTTGGGGCTCTTAAAAACTTTGCCAAAAAATGATAACCATCTTTTTATTTATAGATCTAACATAACAAATGCAGGTTTTTAGTAGTTTTTCCTCTTTTGTTGTGGAATAAATGCATTGAATTTCCACAACAAAAGATGTGTTTTGGATTTATTTATACATGAGAGAAGAAAATGCATCTATTCTGGTTTTGGTTGCTCTTTTTTACAGTTTTACATTTTTCTTTATTTTAAAGTAGGGATGCGCAATATAACAGCACTAACAAAGGTATTGGTCAATATAAAAAAAAAATTAATAATTTTTTAAAATCACTGGGCTTTTTTATCGGTCCGCTAAATAAAATTGATCCGATATGAACAGCCAATATTTATTTTTATCTTGTTGCCATCTGTTTCTGGGCTTTTTGTTCTCCAAAGTTGTCGAAACGGCAGAGAAATTAGTATATATGATATCAGTACATATCAGTAGTCAGCCATAAGATCAATATCAACATCAGATATTGATATTAGTCCAAATTTTCATGTCGGTGAAATCTTATTTTAAAGGATTTGTCAAATGTATAATTGGCTGAATCCCATAAGCAGTTTAGTAATCAGTGCAGCTTTGATGTGTTTCTTCTAAAAGCAGATACTTTTTAGTGATGCATCGATAAATCTGCCTTAATTTCCTTAATTTTGAAAAATCTGTGATCGGCCGATACTTACATGTGCAGTCAATCTCATGCACCAACCTTATCTATTTCGGCAAAGGTCTAAAAATCAACCCATCCTCTTCTGTTCTCCCGAGAGAGGTTTGACTGACAGACCAGCCCACCAGGTCATGTTTGGATGTTTGCAGCTTACGATAGAAACCCCACTGTTGCCAACTCAACGAATTTCTTGCTACTTTTAGCAACATTTCAGACAAACCCCCCCCCCCCCAGAATCATAAGGTCAAAAGATTGTTGATCTGCGATCGGGCAGGAAACTATCGGTGCACCGCTAATGCTTTTTTAGCAAAGTTTTCTACACTGAACTGCTGCCATCTCTGTTGCCTGAACTAACTGGCAGTTCTTTCAGGACATGAAACATAAACTGGACATTCGATGAGGGTTTCTGCTGTCGTTAGAGAAGGTGACACCGAACCTCCATCTTAAGGCGGTTTTGAAAACCCAGAGGGGCTCGTTGAGTCGAGCGATCCGGCAGGCGCCCAATCAGGCTGCGGTGTGTGCAGAGCGTCCCCAGATGTAGGTTACTGTACGCTTTCAGAAATTATTACAAGGCTCTCCCTGATGGCAGCTCGTCTCCCAGCGCCGCCTTTATTGTCTGGAGGTGGTTAAAGTAGATCAAAACCTAAAGCGGAGAGCTCGTAATCACTCCTGACAGTTGCTGTGAAGCAAAGCAACTCTCTCTACTTCTATTTTTTTTTCCTCTTCCTCTTAAAAATCCAGTGGCTTTAGCTTTCCGACCCCACCTGTCTGAGCCAAACTGTAGTGGGGTATTCCCCTCTTGTGCATTTTGCTTTAATTTACCAGAAACACACCAAGTTTCCGTGGGTCAGAGACGGACAACTCCCAGCGTTCTCCAGTATTACATAATCCGCTTGTCACTCAGTCATGAGACGGCGTTGTTAGAAAGTGATGTCAGGCCATTCTTAAACGGAGGAAGTGATCATTTGAGGTTTCCTCTGTCCGCCCTCAGTAGCCATCGTCTGGCCGTGTTTGGATCTGAAAGCGCTGCTTGGCAGGATGTGAACTTGCCGACCCAGCATTTCTGTTGTTCTCGGGAAAAGTGTAGGACGGATCCTGAAGTATGGAAGCTAAACGCCTGAATCGCCATCATTTTGTTTGTCATCCATTTAATCTGCTACTTTATTTCCTTCCTCCCAGTTACTGGTCCTCACCGCAAAAACACAAAATCTTATTTTGTCTACTTTCTAGTGGAAATATCTTAGCACGCTTGAAATAAGTCAAAACTAACTTACATGAAACTTTTTAGCAAGAGATAGGCGCTTGTTTCATGTCAATAACTCCTTAATATTGATTAAAAATTACTTGTTCCATTGACAGATAATTCACTTATAACAAGACATTTTTCTCATGTTCTAAGGGAAATTGCGGATGATGAGTGAATTTACATTAATGGTCAGAACTGCAACTTCCTGTAGGGACTACGTATTTTATCCTGCTTTGTTTTGACTGTCAGAATTTACAAACTAATGTAATTACTGCCATTTTATAGCACAACCAAGTAACTATGTTTCCTTCAGTTGTTATAAAAATCCTGTATATATCGAATATGACTTAAAATAAATTTTACTTTCTGATTTGATGCCTTGAAACTCTCTCTTTCTCAAACTCCGCCTTCTGGAAGTCATCACAGCAAGGTTCCTCTATTAAAATTTTTACCAGCGTTGCTCTGAGAAGTAGCTCATATAATGAGCTCAGCAGTTCCACTAGATGTTTGCTAATTGCTGCTGGCTAGTCTGAAGGAGCTGCTCTGTGAAGCGGAAGCTCAAAAACTTGGAAATTTGCTTCTCTGAGGAGGAGCTGCGCCTCAAAGGCGGGGCTAGGTCCACCCATGCGTTTTGCACAGCTGAATGGTTGCCATGGAGTTTAAAGGATTTTTCAAACGTGCATGAAACCCTCCAGTGTGTTCATGTAAAGAAGGAAAAAAAAAAAAAAAAAAAAAAGTATGATCGAATGGCCCAGAAAAACTGTAATCACTAGTCATCCTGGGCTAAATCTTCCATGTTGCTCCAAAATCAGCCAGTAAAAGTCCCAGAGGAAATGCCTCAGGACTTCATCATCATCATCTTCATGCTGCTATTCACAGCTCGCTTTACTCCCTCTGAAAGCCTCCACTCCGTTGCCTTTTTAAGACATGTCTGGACAGAATGAAAGTGGAGTAAGAGACGGATAATTGAGATCATTTACACCTGAATTAACAATTATCTTTTTGAAGGACATTCTGAACTTTTCCAGTTTTTATCCAGATAAAAAGTTAAATCACAACAAACTTTGATGTGTTTGTTTGCCACAAATGCAAAATAATTTAGTTTTAAGAATCAGACAGAAAAGTTGTCTGTAAAAAACGTTTTTGAAGCATTTGTTTCTTTTAAAATGAACATAAATAAATGTATAGTTACTTTAGAGCAGGGGCGTCAAACTCAGTTTCATTTTGGACCAAATCGAGATCATGAATGTTCTGAAAGAGCCAGTTGGGCCAGAATGTATTGATAAAACCCGTTAAAATGTTTCTCACCATTTATGCACAGAAAATCTGCAATAAACTCTCAATTACGCATTAGTGGGAAAAAGTGCAGGGATTCGTTGATTTTGCATGAATTTCCACAAGAATTCACAAGAAACTGGATGGACTAATCGATGCAATTTGACAGTAAATGGATAAAAACTGGTTTGAATTGATTGATAAAATAATATTTAAGCACATTGTTATCTTGACGATTCTTCTTCTGAGTCCAGAGGGCCGCATAAAAAGCTGTGGCGGGCCAGATTTGGCCCCCGGGCCTTGAGTTTGACACATTAGAGTTAAAAGTTTATTATTTTTATCTTGTCATTTGTGGATGTTCTTGTCATTTGTGGATGTTCTTGGTTGTTATCAAACATTTTGCATATAACACAGACGTCAAACATTGCCATCACACTTTTTCCCTTGAAAAGTGTCAGGTTATGAAGTGTTTTCTTTGTTGTTTTTATTTCTGTATATATATTCAACTTTTTCTAAAGTGTATGTTGTCTTGAAGCTTCAAGAACCGAAGAAACTGAATCTCTTGCAGAGATTATTCCTGCGCTTTTCCTATGTGCCGCTGCAGTCATAATTTGTCTCATTTTTGTAAAATAAGACCACGTTATGGCAA